GCATCATGCAGCATCCTGCCTAAATTCATCCATCAGCCAGCATCATGAAGCACCAGAGAGAATCATGTGTGCTCAAGACCCGTGTGTTGTGAGCACACAACATCACTTTAACCCCAAACTCCCTTTTAACCCCGTCTATAGGCCAGCAAGTTCATGATGAAGCACTTTGTTCCGTCGGACGTCGAGGAGGAGCCGCTATTGAGCCATCCTGCACCTGCATCCGTGGCAGCCGTCGCTCCGAACCCGAAGCCAGGGAGGGACGACCCGGAGGAGAAACGTGCCAAGGAGGGTCATTCAGCCGCAGATCGCCGGTTTGGAGGAAGGTTGAGGAAGGAGGGCTGGACCAGGCAACACCAGGCCAGCGCGCTTTACACCTTGTTTCAGAGAAGGCAGCACGACGGCTATATGGTCTACCTCGCGGATATGGACCTTGACTTGGATATTCAGTTGGCGCCGGCATGTTTGCCAGCTCTTCCTCCGGTGCTTGAGTGGATAGAAGCTGAGCTCTGGGACCGGTTCGTCGATGAATTCGAGGCTGGTATTGGAGCAGAGACGGAATCCTTGGCCACTCTTAGAGGGCGCCCGACCATGCCGTCGCAGGAAATGGAGACCTGCAGACAATGGGCGGCACGGGGCGAAAGCCTCCCCCATACACAACCTGGCCAGCGAGATCCAAGCCGTTCCCCAACAAGACGAACGCCAGGGGCATCATGGAGTCGCTCCACCGGGGGTTCCAAGCTGGGCGTCACGTTGACTATGCTCGGCGCCGTCGGCGAATCCGTGGATACCGTGGACAGGATGGCCGTCGCGACATGTCAAGGGATCGGCGGGAGCGACCTAGGCCGGCAGCGTCCAGGGAACAAAGGGTTAACGCGAGGGTCACTTGGGAAACTCGCCGCCTTGTCCCAGCCGAATGTCACCCAGCAGAAGCCTCGGGATGCTGAGGTTCAGGGGCTACATCGAGTACGAACCGCACTGCTCCAACCAGGACGACCGTCGGCTCTGGACTACCCCCGCCGATGATGACAATCATTGAAGCGACACAGGAATGGTTCCGAATCTCAGGTCTACGGCATCCGGGCGAAGAGAGGACTGAGAGGACCTACCCCAGTGAGGCTTTGACCCAACAGGCACAAATGGAAGCAAGACATTCACTACGTGCAATGGAGGAGGGCGACTTGATGATGATGCACCGGGCCTTGATGCGCCTGATGGGCATGCTGTTCATCGAGGCTGCCCACATCCTTATCAAGGTCCACCAGGACAGGGTTCGCACGGATGAGCTGGTGGAAGTGGATGTGGAATTTACATGCAGCAGACGGTGCACTTCCACCCCAAAGCAACCTGGGAAGGGACTTTACAAGAACTGGTTAGCCTCGGGGACAAGGCGAGCAAGGACCGCTACAACGCGATGGTGGGGCTTAAGAGGCGAATCACGAGGAGCCTCTACCTGCAGACCCCCCGTGGCATGCAGCTCCAGGCTGCCTTGGTGGCAGACAGCGGTGCTCGAGGAAGCCAAGGACTTGACCATCGCCCGTCGGAAGTGGAGCAGTGGGAAACAGAGCGGCGCCAGCTGGCGGCAGAGGAGGCCCAGTACCAGCAGGAGTTCCAGGAGAGAGAATGCGAAGAAAATGAACAGAGCGCCCGAGACGAGGAACTCTATGAAGCACACCGCGCTGCGGCTTATCGCGATTGGGAACTGGGTGCTCCTCAACACGCCCAACCACCCCAAGCGCAGACGCCTTGTTCTCACGAGCACCACTGCGTGGGTCTCTCCGCAGGACGCAGGGCAGTCGGCGAATGTGGCGTCCCTGATCCTGCCGAACGACTTGAATACCCTGCACCTCACCATGCATGTGGAGACTGCCGTCGAGCCCGTTCCTGCAGCAGTAGGCCTGAGAGAAGGAGATGAGCCATCGAATAAGGCGCCCACACTGGAGCCAAATGGTGACCTCTACAACAAGGCATACGATGCTTGGAGACGTGGTCACCTGACGGATGATGGGGTTACTCTGGTCTTTGGACAGGACTGGCTCTTCTTGTTCCAGATTACGAGGGATGGAGTGGGGGAGGATACACTTGTGGCAGCTGCCGCTGATGCTGGGGTTGTTGCCAAAGACCAACATACCCTACTTGATGGTGAAGATGGTAGTGCTGTGCGACGAGGAGAGTGACTGGTCTGAAGGTTGTTTTGCGGACGGGCGACTTCTGAGAGACAACGTAGCGAGTGTCCCGGTAGCCTGCCCAACATGGGCTTCGGCTTCGAAGCGCAAGTACCGAAAAAGGCCCTTTAAAAAAAAACACCCTGCATTTGCCTTCTTTGAGTCGCCCTGAGGATGAGCCTGTATGTGCACCTCTCGAGCTGCGCGACTCCGGGTTGCTTTTAAGGCTGTTAAGGAACTTAGGGTTTAGGGTTCACCTGGACCCTAAAGAAGCTACCTTTTTGGGGTTTCTTACTATGGTTTCTGCATATGAACCCTTGAAAATGGTAGGTTATATTTGGGGTTAAGGTAGAACTTGGGTTTCGGCATTAGGGTCTAGGATGTAGAGTGACAGGGTTTAAGGAGTCTATAGGTCGAGCTACCATGATGGGGGTATATGGTAAACAAATACGGTTGGCTCTTTAAGGTTTAAGTTACCATAGTGGGAATGGCTGGTAAGTTACTAGGCGTGTCCTGTCAGGGTTTGGGGTATGAGGTTTAAGTTACCATAATGGGGATATATAGTCAATACTAGGGTTTCCTTACTATGTCAGCGCAATTTACGTTCCTTAACAGCGACCCTACACCCTAAACCCGGGAACAGTTTAGGGATTGGGGTGGGGTTAGGGTTTAGGGGTCGACAACAACCCAGGACTTTGAGTTTCTGAGACGAAAGATCGACTTATCGGCACTGCGGGAGGAGATCTTCTTGGAAGTGCCTCGAGGGGGGAAGAACAATAACAGTAATAATAAGGATAGAAATTATCGAATAATACTAATGACTAACAATTATGATGATCATAGTGATAGTGATATGGATACGATAAATGCAGTAACAGTACTAATACACATCCCAGTACTAATGCTAAACGTAAAAACAATAACGATGACACCAGTTTTGTTGTTGGCAAGCCCTCTTCTTTTCGATGGTGCTTGCGATGTGTTTTCGAACCTGTGCATCGTCTAGAGGCTCTTCACTACCACCCCGAGCTGAAGCAACGGTACCTGCGAGAGCAGTCGCTGATGGGCACCATGCACGAAATCGGGAAGTACGAGCTGCTCACACTGGGTGAACGTTGGCCCCACTCTCTGGATGCCACGGATGATGCTGTGACATGAGACGCGGTTCCGCGCATGGCTCGGCAAGATTGCGGAACACAGCCTGCTGCCGTTTGCAGTGTTTGAGTTTGATTTCGTGGTGAATGGTCCCATGGTCCACATATATTGTTACTAGTTGCAGGGGTGTGGCCCGAAATCCATGCTGTAGCGGTAGCATTAGAGCAGCAGGAGAGGGAGTAGCGACAGACAGCTTGCGTTTCTAAAATATGTTGGTAGGGTGTCGTACGGATTGAAAGAGTTTGAACTGCATGATGGTTTTCTTGGTCCAGTGAACATTGTGACTTTTGTTGGCATCGCAGTCTATCGTTTGTCCACCGCTTGTCGCTTGATCGTGTCTTTCGTTTGTTATCCCTCCGCCGCCTCGTCTGCCCTGTCCACATAAACCTGGAGCCTTATAAACTGCACCTGTCTGGAAACACTCAGTATTATAGTTCCGAAATAACCCTAAACACTAAACTAGTATCGTAGTTCCGAAATAACCCTAAACCCTAAGCCCGTAACAAGGCCGGAAAAGGGAACCACCGAGCCCCTGGTTCCCATGATCACTGCTCCGCAACTATGGTAGTTGAATGTTCGCTGCACTGCTTAGGATCGGTTAGGACCACTACCCTACCAAATCCCGGATCATTTTAGTGTTGAGGGTGTCAGAATTTTCAGCAACCCCCAAAAATATGTTGAACAGTCCTGATGTCAACATTTTGTTCGTGTGGTTGGATGCTGAATCTGGCCACATGCTATGTTCAGAACCTGCTTGTGGTTCACTGTCTAGATGGAAGCCCCAAAACCTGGATCCTAAACCCCGAAACCCCAAACCCTTTAAACCCCTAAACCCTAAACCCTGAGCCCTAAACCGACGCTTCGTTGCCCTTGCGATGTGCGCGTAGTCATCCCCAGCTCCGTCTTCGCCAACAGCAGGAGAGAATATCTTGGTGCGCATGGACCCTGCCAAGGGATGCCTTGTGGCAGTGTAGTTGGGGACTTACCGGCCAGGGCGTGGGGTTTGGGGGTGAGGTACTTGGGAAAAAGACGGGGTAAGGGTTGCATGGGCGCTGGCCGGCACCTCAGTCCGTGCCGAAAAACGGTACTTGGGTTCGGAACGGTAGTTCTGTAGGTCCGCACGAGACAGAGCAAACGTATGATTATTCTGGAAGTCTTGCCTTTCACTCGACATGGTCCGACATGGGGTATCAGGGTCCATCTGTGTCCGTTTTGTTTCCTGTGTATTAATCCGTATTTCCGGCTTGCTGACCACGTCCACGGATTATCAATCAGTTTTACTAAGACTAGCCTCTTGTGCAACCTTCTAAAACCCTTGAACACACCCTTAAACCTCATGCAACCTTGTAAAACCGCAATACAGGCTCAACAAAGGTTCAAGACCTGCGACCTGCGCCAGGCTTGGAATCAGAGATTTAGGATGCGATGGAACCCCAAACCCTAGACCCTAAGCCGCCAAATTTGCGTTTAGGGCTCGGGGAATCAAAGGCAGGGTTGACTTTGAGTATTGGATTGGAACTTGGTAGCGCATAGTGTATGTCTGCGGTTTCATGACAGAAAGACGAGTAGTAAACACTCTACTCGATGTGGGACTTTTCACTTTGAAGCTGAAGTGTGCAAACAGTGGGGCTCAAAGCGATGCCAAGTCCCTGCAAGCAGCTCCCCCAAAAGCCGCGATGATGGTGATAATGACGATCATGGTGATGCGGATGCGGACGCCGATGCGGATGCTGATGCTGCTGATGATGTTGATGATGAAGAAGACGATGGTGATTGTGGTGGTGGTGATGATGATGATGACCACCGTCATCATCACCGCCATCATCAGCATCATCCTTTGTTGGTTAGCAGGGTAACATCGCCATCATCATACCATTCCTGTTATTCTGTTTATTCTGTGGCTGAAACGACGGCAACAACCCGAATTAGTACGGAAGCCTTCATATACCCTAAACCCTAAACCCTAAATTATAAACCCTAAACCCTAAACCCTCACTACACTTTAAAAAGAATCCTAAACCCTCTATAGTATGAAGTCCCTGGATCGGCACCTTTCCGAGGCTAGGAGCTCGGTCGCCATCGTCTGCCGAGATAGTGGGAGCTGAGTGTGTTCATAGGAATATGCGATCTGGCTCTCGGCTTTGGGGTGCAGGATTTAGGGTTCCTGGTTTGGGTCGGTTTAGGGTTCAGGGTTTAGGATTTAGGGTTTAAGGGTTTAGGGTTTAGGGTTTAGGATTTAGGGTTTAAGGGTTTAGGGTTTAGGGTTTAGGGTTTAGTTTGGGTCCTCTAGCGGCTGGAATTTAAGGTTTAGGTTTCCGTGATGTTGCAGCTTGCTGCAGGGTTGGAGGGTCCGGGAGCTCGATATGACTGTAGCCAAGCCATGCGTAGCACAGTGGTGAGGTTGAGTCAAACCTGTGCAGATCTTTTTGGGAAGTGCCCATGATGCCTTTTCACCCGTTTGCTGGTGCACCGTCCTGAACCCCAAGGGGGGGCGACGTAGCCGAATGAGTACAGAGTAGGCTCGCAACAGCAGTGGCCAAAGAAAAGGAGTCGACATGCAGTGCCCTGTGTCAGGGCGAGTGAAGTTCCCTATAAGCCTGAACCTTAATTACGGTTTGGGATTTAGGGTTCACGGTTTAGAGTTTAGGGGTTAGGGGTTAGGGGAACCCTAAACCCCTCTAGCAGCCGATGAGGCCCTAGCCAGATGGCAGATCCGATATTCCGCTGCAACTTTCACGCGGACCGCAGAACCTCAAGGCTACTTATAGCCTGAATCATTAGTAACATGTTTTTCGTGGTTTGCTGCCAAACCCTATAAAACTGTTAACCAGCTGTTTGCATTATTAGCTTGGGGGGATTCAGGGCTTGCGAGAGAAACCCGAGAGCAGCCATCGTAAGCTTCGCCTAGATTGCCCGAGTTGCGAGAGTAACAACCGTTATGAAGCTGGACTCCAGCCGCAGAAAGCCGTAAACCCCAAAACCCTAAACCGTAAAACCGTTAACCCCAAACCGGTGAACCGTTAACCCTTAACCTTGAAGCCCTTAGCCTTTAAACCCTGCATCCTATAAGCCCTTCTATCCTAACCCTCTATGAATGAAGCTTGAAAAATGAAAGTTCAGTTCCTTCGAAGCGAAGCTTTGCCGGTGGCGACCCCCTCTGAAGGTTTAGGGCCTTGTAAGAATCGGGTCCCGGTGTTTCCTATGGCATCATGGAGTTTAGATTTAAGAGTTTGGGGTTTGGGGTTTAGGGTTTGGCTGCTTTAGGGTTTAAGGTTTGGGCTACATATGTGGGCCCCCTGCATGATTGAACCAACCCACATGTCGCAATTTGGCGGGATTTTTTAACTTACTGTTTCAGGGTGTCGTACGACCCTTCAAAACATAGCGTTTCACCCAAAAGGCAAGCCCTAAACCCTAAACCCTAAAGGTTGCTACCAACGATGCTCTCGTTGAGCCTGATGCCGGACGAGGTGGTGGTCTCTATCCTCGAGGCAGCGACTCCCTGGAGTTTTCACGGTTTAGGGTTTAGGGTTTAGGGTTAATTTTCAGCCCTGAAAACCCTAACCCCGAATATCAGGGTTTCGGTTTTTCGAACGGCGTGCCTCTGGGGTTGAGCCGGAACCCTAAACCCCTGAACCCCTTAAACCCTAAACCCTAAACCCTAAACCCAAAGAAGGTCCTGGTTACTAACCATGAAAGGTGTAACGGTTTAGGGTTTAGGGTTTAGGGCAGTGGCTCATGTTTAAGTAAACTGAGACCTAGGGTTCAGCTGCTCGACA